AGTAGTAAAATTTATTGGATTTCTATTAAATGTTAGAATGCTTAACAGAGATCATGGTGACTTTAAGGAGACATATGGAAATTTTGAAATGCTGATGACATTTTGTTTCCTAATCTGGGCGTTATTTTCAATTTGAAATACTCATCAAGTTGTGTACTATTAATAATTTGTTATTTTTCCTTATACATATTAAAATTTAATACAATTTATACATACATAAAAGCAGTTCTGTTTTGAATAATGGCAAATTTTCTCATATCCGAAAATAATTCCCTCAGATATGAGGCAAAGGATGGGAATTTGTAGTCTTTGCTCTAAAATAAGTAAACAAGAAGGGTCATCTATGATTCTCATCTAAGCTGTAGGGGGAAGGGTGGGTCTTTGTAGTAAACCATTTCCAGGAACACAAAGGACAGTGGTATTTCTTAATCTTTGCTGTCTTCTAGCATCACAGGGCTTGGGCAAAGTTCAATATTGTCACATTGTAACATTCTTCAAATTAGCATTTCTTTTATGAATACATACTGTAAAAGTTGTGGATATAATATTCACTTTAATTTTAATAATGGATCTTGTGGAAAGTAAGGGAACAATAATCTAAGTACTTTCTTTACCTTACTAAAGAGACTTTGTAAAATCTAGTACAATAACTACTTAACATGTCTATCATGATCTCTCTTCAAAATATCAAACTATCTCAAATAAGCATTTGGCAAATGCTAGATCAATTAAATTAATGGTTGAGTTCACTGAAAATTATTTGAACTGCTGAAATTCTGTGTTTTTGATTACCAAGAGGTTTATATATTTTATGTCCTGGATTGAGAGAGATAAGATTCCATTTGATTAAGAAAGTTTAAATACCCAATATGTTTTGGAAAATACATTAGGGAAATATCCTTTTCTGCAAAGTGTAATCACTGAGATTTTCTAAATAGGAGGATAGTATTCTTAAATTGGGTTTTTATTAAAAATTAAATATCAGCCATGTGGATATTTTATTACATGGTAATAAAAAGCCATATGTGACACAAACTTATATAGGGATATGCTCACTCAAAGGACAGCCAACCAAAGCAGCGTCCTGCCCTCTTAGAAAAACAAATCTGATTTTTCTCACATACTTGTACACATGTTTAACTGAAATTGTGGAATTCATTGTTTTACTACATGGAATTTTTTTCTTTGCTAGAAAAATATTAACAATTAACCTTCAAGATCCTTAAAGTAATCTTGGTATAGATTCTGTGGTATGTCCAATTATTTTAGGGCCAGTATATTGATAGCCCTTAAATAATCTATTCCCCAGCCTTTCATTGAACATGTATATGTCACTCTTTGGCAATGTCAGTGAAAGATTTACTTCCTACAAAACATTCAAATTGTCTGGAACAGGGAAGTAATGATAGAAATATAAATTGGGATTAGATTGTTGTCTATTTAAAATCAACAAGATATATGACCCACTAGGTTGGGTAATAAAAACTCTGATGTTTACTCTGATGTTTACAGTTTGGACTAGTGAATGCTGATGTGCATCTGCTAACATGTGAGCATGAAGGAAGGAGCAGTGCCCTGGCCTTCTGCAGCAAGTGGTGTGGGAGGGAAGGAGGATCCCACTTCAATGACATCTCTGGCACCTCTTTGCTCCCACTTTGCTCTCTTACTTCCAGAACATAACAAAGTTGGTTATCAGAGGTCATGAGAGGACAAAACTTTGAGAATGAACCTAACCAGCTAGAAGATGGAAGGCTGAAGAAAATTCACTTACATTTTTTGAGTTTCTATTCTGGTAACAATCACTCTGAAGTTGTATTTCCTTTGTTCTTTATGATTATCTTTCCTTAACCTCTTTGCCTTTTCTCTTTCCATTCATTGTTACTATTCCAGTTGAATTTTGTTCTCAGCCTTAATTATCATACTTAACAGTAAATAATAATTCTGTACTTATTTTAGTTAATAAACTCAAATTGTTTCCTCTGCTTGTCAGTTTTTTTCAACTCATTTGACTTTGTTTAAATATTACATCTTTGATTTAATGGTTTCAGTAATTTATTTCTATAGTATATAGCACTTGTTATAAAAACTAGCAGTTATTATTATTTTTGCTTCTTGTTGTTTGGCTTACATTTTTCTCTAGCCTACATTTTTTTTATCTGGTTTTGCAAATCATATTAGTTTTTGTCATTTTGTTATTTTTGTATATTTGCATAATTATCAGACTATTCTGTCTTAATTTTGCTCTTGTTTAAAGTGGCATGCTTAAATCTAAGCTTCCCATTTAGTTCTCTGCAAGATAAATATGGATTCTTTTATTCTCATATTCTCAGTACAGTGTGAGGGTTAGAAACTGTGTTAAATCTACCTTTTTGAAGCCCAAGGAGTAAGCCACCTCTTTAGGATTTGACTTTGTTCTCTTTTTAAGTCTTTTTTTGTGTGTGTGTGTTATATACTAGGTCATTCCATTTAGGTTGGGATATATCCTATCACAACAGACTGGAACCTCAAAGCTTTATGTGGCATAAAGTTTTATAGCAAGTGCTTACCTTAGAAAGAGTTCATCCTTATTATTCACACTGTACCCATATGTACACCTTGTCCATTTCCCTTACCCATCACTAAAAGTTCAAAAAGTGAAAAGTTTAGAGGATCTGCTGGTTTTGGCATAGTCTTTATTAGTACATTAAAGGATCAAGGAATCTTACTTGGAGTTTTCAGTGTGTTTCCTTGCCTCAAATTGCTATTCTTTCAGGGGATCCTAATATATGGATTTTCTCTTTTAAACAATACTTTTAAGTTATTATTTATTGTTGCAAGAGTTATCCTCTGTGGTTATAATAATTGCATTTTCTTCCTCTTCTTTATTCCAGACTGGAGAGAGAAAATTGTGAAAAGCTGTTTCCTTCTGCCTCTGTTGGGATATTTGATATTACCTCTAAGAGACTTTTCAGGGACTCTTCAGAGAGAATTAGGGAGATTTTCCCAGATTTTGTCAGCCCAAGTTTCACAAGAGTAGCTTCTAGGAAGAAAGTATTTATTTGTTAAATTAAAAAATGGTTTGTAAAAATTAATATCTTGCCACTCCCCTTCCATATTTTCCTTAAAACAACACTTAGGGTTATTTTATTTCCAGAAAACTTTCTTTTGTGTAAATCTTAATTTGTCTAAATCTTTGTCTAAATTTGTCTAAATCTTAATGTAAACATAGCTTTGCTAGAGTAGGAGAAAAGGAGACATCACTGAGAGAAGATGTAGAGGCTTGCAGAGTGGGTGCAAGTATTGAAATAAACAGCCCTCAGGCAGAAGCTAACTAGGCTACTAAGCTAGGAGTTAGATGCAGGGGCTTGCAGAGTGGGTTCAAGTCTAACTAAGAGGGCTAATAACCATAGACAAGGCCTAGCTTCAACCAGCTTGTCAGCTACCTAGGTCTCCTCACATTAACTTTGGCTAATTAAAATATCATTTGCATTGTGGTTTTGAAGTTTCTTTGTGCTTGAAATTGCCATGACAGTTCCAAGACAAAATGGGAGGAAACCTAACTCTGAGAATTACTACACAAATTCTTAGTAAAAACTAATCCCTTAGCCAGGAATATTTCCCCTTTCAATTAGTGAAACTTCATAAGACCCAAAACCCCTTTCAGGACAGCTGCTCTTTTTTGAGCCTGCCCACTCTCTCTCAGGACAGCTGCTCTTTTTGAGCCTGCCCACTCTCTCTCTCTCTTGAGAGAGTGTACTTTTTTGCTTTCAGTAAAAGCTGCTTGCTTGGCTTACATGGTGAATCCTGAAATTCTTTTCTTATGACAATCACCAAGAACCTGAAAGAAACTCCACTGAGAAGACAGTAACAGCTTAATATCTCAAAATTATACACTGTTGGTAGGACTGCAAATTTGTATAATCTCTATGGAAAACAGTGTGGAGATTCTTCAAAGAAACAGATGTAGACTTACCATTTGACCCAACAATACTGGGTATCTACCCAAAGGAAAAGAAGTCATTTTATAAAAAGGATGCCTGTACTCAAATGTTATTGCAGCATAATTCACAATAGCAAAGATGTGAAATCAATCTACATGCTCATCAATTCATAAGTGGATTAAGAAAATGTGGTATGTGCATACACACACACACACACACACACACACACACTATGGAGTACTACTCAGCAATAAAAAGAAATCAATGTCTTTTGCAGAAACTTGGATGGAATTGGAGACCATTATCCTAAGTGAAGTATTTCTGTAATGGAAAAATAAATACCATATGTACTCTCTAATAATTGGAAGCTAATTGATGGGCATCCATAGGCACATATAGATGTAAAGATCATAGGAAATCAAGAAGGGGGAGATGAAAGGGGATGAGTAAAACCTACCTATCAGGTAGAATGAACATGATTCAGGTGATGGACACACTAAAAGCCCCAACTTAAGAATTGTATTAAATAAAAGGTATCCATGCAGCAAAATATTTGCATCACCTTAATATTTTGAAATAAAAAAATTCTATTTAATATCTCAAAATTTTACTTCATATTTATAGCTTCTACTATTTTGTATAAATATTTAAATTTAAATCACTTCTGATTTCAGCTGAATTTTCTTTGAAAAATTATGTCAAGTTGTTTAATCAGGATACATTTTTGTTTTACATCAGATACTACTCTCCAGTTGTCTAGAGGTTGGTCGAGCAAGGCAGGTTTTCATTTGTCTATGATCAAGGCATCTGTACTATAGTGGGTTGAATAATGGCCTCGAAAAGATAGATCTAAGTCCTAACCCCTGGAACCTATGAAGGTAATGTTATTTGGAAAAAGAGACATTGCTGATATAATGCAGTTAAGGAACTTGACATGAGATCATTTGTGTCCTCATATGGAAAAATAATGGAAGTTGACACATACACAGAAGAGACACAAGAAAGAAAGCCAGGTGAAAATAAAGACAGATATTGGATTTATGCTGCCACAAACAAAGGAACACCTGAAATCACCAGTACCTGGAAGATTCAAGGCCACATTCTCTTCTTGTGCCTTTGGAGGGAACAAGTCACTGCCAACATCTTGATATTGCACTTCTGGCCTCTAGAATTATAAGAGAATAAGCTTCTGTTGTTTTAGGCTACCATGTTTGTGCCAATTTTTTGGTGTAGCATTAGGAAACTAATACATGTACTTTGATTGGGACCCTCTTACAGACACAGTGTTATTTGTGGGCCATAAATTCACTACCCCTACATAGTTGCCATAGTTGTCTATTACTATCTCTAATTTCTCATCAGTTCTGCATTTCAGATTTTCTGCGATCTCATGTAATGCAGTGATACAACAAGAAACTGTGGAGACAAACTTCCTATTTTCAAATTACAGCTCTACTACTTACTAGCTCTGTAACCTTCAACAGGTTACTTAATATCTCCTAAGTTTCTACACCAGAAAATGGGCACAATAATTACACCTACCTTATATGCTGTTAGAAATAAATAACTTAATATACTATTAAGTACTCAGATCAGTATCTAGCATGTAATTACTGCTAAATGGGATAGTTATTTAGCTAGCATGATTTTGTAAAGGAGGAACAGTTATTTGAAGGATAAAAATTTTACTAAGGATAAACACCATCATTTGCAATCTCATTTAGCAGAGGTGATTGAACAGTAACCACTTACTAAAAGTCAATAGTACTGCTAAGGATGGTAGATGAAATGTGTTCTCTGTCTACACAGTGGGATGATACTTCACATCAAAATGTAAATATAAATGAAATTGAAAAGATTTGTCATATTTAATTCAGGAAAATATGATTAGACAAATGGATTACATGATGTAAATCTTCTTAATCCACACATCTTATAGATAAAACAGACCTAATGTCAATTTCAGAATTTAATTATCTGAAATATGTAGGATATATAATAAATATATTTAGATATTATTAAATTCAGAAAACTGTCCATTTGATAAAAGGCTCACAGGATTTAATATGTGTAGTATTAGGGCTAACCTGTATTTCGGGGCATAAATTCAGAAAGCTATATCAACCTTTAGAGGGATAATATCACATGAATAAAATTATATAGAAAAGGCCCCACCAATTTTGGCATAATAACATACATTTAAGTAACACATTGAAATTTTAATATATTTTAACACAGTAGACAGTGTGGACAGTGACCCTCATAATTATCTTGTATGGTAAAAATTTTGTTACTGATAATAAAAACTAGGCTCAGAGAAGTCTTTTCCATGACTTCTTGCCCTCTGATTCATTAGAGGAAACCCTACATTAACTGGTCATCCAACTTAACTCACTTTACTGAATAGGAAGAGTATAAATTTAGGATTAATAGAATAAATAGCTTATATTTAGATAATAGTGCAATTATAGAGAATGATGTTTTCCAATTCAGTTACCTTTGGGCTAAGGCTTATTGCTCTTTTGAATAAAAATTATAGAACTCAAATGAATTTCAATGGGATGTCACTTTAGGTGGGTTCTGGAACTGTCAGAACTTCTATGACCTAAGTTCTATGCATCATGTAGATTTGGCTTAAAGTGGGGTCTGAAAAAAGCATCAGGGAATTTAATTAGGAATAAAGGCAACCAGCCTTCATTTTGAAGAGATGTATATTATTCATTAATTCACTCAACAAAGACTGAGTGAGGACTGACTAAATGTCAGAAATTTAGCATATATATGCTAGCTAACAAAAATACTTTTTCTTACTAATTTAAAAGTAGTTTGGCAAAGAACTGCTAATGTAATCTATTCACCTTATCTCTGGATGCTACAATTGAATTGTCATTAATTCAAATGCCAAATAGCCTGTTTCACTATCTGTGCTGTAAATTTTACCTGGTTGGAGAAGAAAAACAGTACATCTAGTACAATTTTTTTTTGTTTGTTTGTTTTTGTTTTTGTGACAGAGTCTCACTCTGTTGCCCAGGCTAGAGTGTCATTTGGACAGCCTAGCTCACAGAAACCTCAAACTCCTGGGCTCAGGCAATCCTTCTGCCTCAGCCTCCCGAGTAGCTGGGACTACAGTTATGCACCACCATGCCCGGCTAATTTTTCCTATACATATTTTTTAGTTGGTCAATTAATTTCTTTCTATTTATAGTAGAGATGGGGTCTCGCTCTTGTTCAGGCTGGTTTTGAACTCCTAACCTTGAGCGATCATCCCACCTCGGCCTCCCAGAGTGGTAGGATTACAGGTGTGAGCCACTATGCCTGGCCTTAGTACAGACTATTTTAAAACAAATTATTTCATTTGAAAAAATAAAACAATTAAGTTTTCACCAAAATGGAGAAAATACCTTTTGAGGGCTTTGCCAAAAAACTATTTTTCACAATAATCAAGGTGGCATCAGCAAGATGGTGAAGTAGTTTTCAACTCTCACAGAAACACCCATGGATGAGATTGCATTTCAGAAAGTCCAATAGAGAGGTCTGAGCATATGATTGGGGCAGAAGTATCTAAGAACAGTTGCCTCAAAGAAGGTAAGAAGAACCATTTCACTTTTGTGGGGCGCGGTGTCAACGCCATTACAAGTTGGCGCCTGTTTCCGGCTTTGCCTAGAGCAGCTAACAAGTTCAGCGCACGCATAATTGTCGGTTGCCCTGTGGCGCGAGAATGCAAACAAAGGGTCCTGATATGGGCTAATGCTTTGGTGGCTCGACAGTTGAGCGGCCTATCGCAGCTTAGGGGTTGTACTTCTGGCGTATATAGCAGCCTGCGCGCTGCCGGGCTGGGTCTTCCGCATCATGCAAGTCTAAAGGGAACCCCATTAAAGCACTGTCAGAAGAACTCCTGTTGCCGCGTCTTCCTTGCTGGCGAGGCGGGCGCGACACACTTTACTCACATCATCTCTCCTCAAAGGTGGCACAGCTTAGTGCCAAGAGAATACCTCCTTAGGCCACAATTTCTCTCAATAGGGAAAGTGAGACTGTAATGAGCACCCAGCTTCCCCAGCCAAGTGAGATGCTACATAAGAGGCCTACCTCTTCCTCATTCCACTTCAAAATGCCACAACTAACCACTGCATGAACTACACCTTGAACCTTGTAGTATGCATCAGCTGCAGATCTCCCTGATTATTCCATGTGTGCCCTCATCAATTTGTGTACCCCACAACTTCCATATAGCATGCAAGAGCCTCTGTAGAGCATGTACACAAATAGCTGACTCCACCCGGCTGGACTGGGAAAAGGCACGTGCTTTGACCACTTCAGGTATTGTCCTAGTGAAAAGAAATAGGAAGTTCTTAGTACAAAGCCCAGCTTTACAGGACAAAGGGAAGACATATAATCCAAAGACTCCTCACCTCTGCTGAGAGGAAACAAGAAAACTAGAGTAGACGTTACCATCGAAAATGTCCAAGAAACCCACATAATCCACAGACAAACTGACTGGTGAAGATCTTTCTCTCCTTAAGCCAGTTTATGAAGACTAGAGAAGGTGACTACTCCTCAAATGTGAAGACAGCAATGCAATACTTCAAGGAACACAAAAGAAATCAAGGAAACATGATGTAACCAAAGGAACACAATAATGTTTCTATCTATAACCCTTACAATGGAGTTCTACTAATTGGACAACAAAGAATTCAAAATAATTGTTTTCGGGAAACTCAGCAAGCTGCAAGAGAATATAAATAGACAACTCAATGAAATCAGGAAAGCAATACATGAACAAAGTGATAAGTTCAACAAATAGGTAGAAATTACAAAAAAAAAGAGAATAAAACAGAAATTCTTGAGCTAAACAATAAAATGAATTAAATTAAAAAAAAAATGGCTGAGAGCTCTTCAAGAACAGACTCAATCAAGCGAAAGAAAGAATCCATGAGGACAAAGGAAGGTCATTTGAAATATGTCCTGGGATAAAAAAGAAAAAAGAATGAAAAAGAGTGAAGAAAGCCTACTGGATTATGAGACATCATCAAGCAAACCAACATATGCATTAGTGAAATCTCAGAGAAAAGAAATAGAAAAAGAGGCAGAAAACATCAATAGAAAAGTAATTCATCACATGCAAAGGAACTCCTGTAAGGCTATCAGTGGATTTCTCAGCAGAAAGCTGCCAGGCAAGGGAGAGTAGAATGATATATTTAAAGTGGTGAAAGAAAAAAAAAAAAAACAACAACAGCCAATCAAGAAAACTATACTTGACAAAAATTATCCTTTAAAAATAAATTAGCTATAAAGACTTTCCCTAACAACACTGAGGGAGTTCACCACCACTAGACCTGCTTCACGAAAAATGCTAAAAGAGAGTTTTTCAAATTGAAACAAAAAGATGCTAACCAACAACATAAAAGCATATAAAAGTATAAATCTCACTAATAAAGATAAATATATAGACATATACAGGATAATGTAATATTGTAATGGTGGTACATAAATCACTTTTAACCCTAGTATAAAGATTTAAAGACAAAGGATTTGGAGTAACTATAACTGATAATATTTTGTAATGGATAGACAATATAGAAATATGAAATTTGGATACTCTTTGCTTCAGCAATATCAACTATTATGCTCCCTCATCCCTGTATATGTTTACATGGTCTGTTGTTTCTAGCTGGCATGATTTTCTTTTACTTTCTTCTTTTGACCTAATTTATCCTTAAATACCTAGGATTTAAGGTAAATACTATGGTATCCTATCTAATAATGAACTTATGAAATTTATGAGAAAGCAAACAAGAAAATAAAAGGAATAAAAAAGTTTGTCAAATATTAGACCTGTGATTGAATGTTCACTTGTCTTGACATAAAAAATATGTTATGACTCCTCCAAGCCATAGCTTCATTTAAATTTTTTTCTTCCCACTTATTTATTTAACCTGGGTTTAATAATTAGAAGCATAGTACAGTTTGTTTGATCACATTCATTACTACAAGATAGGGGTTACCAAACTCCTTTGTAAATGGCCAGATATTAAATGTTTTCTGCATTACAGACCTTGCATTCTCTGTGTCAATCACTAATTCTGCCATTGTAGCATGAAAGCATCCGTAAACAGTACATGGATAAATGGGGGTGGCTATGTTCAAATAAAACTTTGGTTACAAAAAAGATCGTAAGCCAGGTTAGGCCCATAGGCCCATAGGCCACTGCTAAAGAATAACTTCACTTAAGTGTTGTAAGAGACCTTCCAATGAATTAAAAGCAGATTAAAAAATAATAGGGCAAATTCACATCTATAATGAAAAAGAAAAGCAAATTATATTATTTAGGGCACTTGGGATTTTCTTTCCAAAGTATTTTTTTGAAACAAACAAACAAAACAGAGTTTGTCAACAATTATTTTTAACTTATATAAAAAAATAATGTGACGTAGTGGATTTGATACTGAGTTAAGATATCTGACTTTAAATATGATTTCTGTCCAGGGACATCAAAATTGAATGTAGGAAACTCATCTTATCTTTTTGAGGTTTGTTTCTTCTGTCCTGAGAAATATAGAGTAGTCATAATCTTAAAATGAGAAAAGTAGTATAAATATATTTTGCTTAGTATAAAATTTTGTATGAAAGAAATTATATTTATAGAGTTGTTCCAAAGGCATTTTTAGTATTTTAGCTTCATTATTTTTGGAAACAATAAAGTCAGGTGAAAATTGAGACAATTTGTGAAAAAGACCTAATTGACAAAGATGTAATATATAAAGTTCAAAAACAGTAAGCTTGTAACAGTAAGCTGAGATATATTATCTTGTGCAAAATTAATGGAAAAGTAGCTTAATCTAATAAAATCATTGGTCTTCACTTGTCCTAGGTAGCACTCTGTTCATTCCTTTTCTAGGAAGAGAAAAATAAATACCCCAGCAAAGCTATGCAGTGGTACACAACAGTATTTTCTTCTTTTTCTTCCCTTCTGGTTTCAGTACTATAATTTCACATAGCTTAACAAAACTGCTGCAGTTATTATTCTATGCAATCTGAATGCCCAGTAACTTAAGAACAAACTCTCAAAAAAGTTTTAATCATTAAAATGTTATGGAGATAATAAAAATGGCTAAAGGTTACCTGTTACAGCTGTGTAGCATTAACAAGCAAGAAAGAACTACTAATTACAGTAATTAAAACAGGAAATTGAGAGGAAACACTCAGGTATATTGGGCTTATCACTGTTTTATTTAAAGATACTCTTTAAATGCTCTATTAAAGATTATTTAATTAAGAGGAATAAAATTTTATGGTTACAAATTTGAGTTAATTTGAGCAGAGAAATAGCCATGTTGAAATTGATGTGCAGTCAATGAGACCAAGGCTTATCCAAACAAAATGTGAGTTCTAAATGGAGTCTCTCAGGCATATTAGTACCACATTTAATTTTTGTCAAATTTTCAGCATTTCTGCATTTTCCCCAAACTAACCAATTATAATGCTTCTTTACCACAATGCCATTATTTCAGAAGTTCCCTTGTGCCTTTGGAGTCTCAGTAATTTTATTCATGGCATCCATATCCCAAGAAGATACA